AGACGGGGTTTCACCGTGTTGACCAGGATGGTCTCGATCTCTTGACCTCGTGATCCACCCGCCTCGGCCTCCCAAAGTGCTGGGATTACAGGCGTGAGCCACCGCGCCCGGCTGTTCACTTTTTTTTGAGACAGAATCTTGCTATGTTGCCCAGGATGGAGTGCAGTGGTATGATCTTGGCTCACTGCAACCTCTGCCTCCCAGGTTCAACTGATTTTCCTACCTCAGACTCCCAAGTAGCCGGGATTACAGGCGCCTACCACCACGCCCGGCTAATTTTTATATTTTAGTAGAGATGGGGGTTTCACCATGTTGGTCAGGCTGCTCTTGAACTCCTGATCTTAAGTGATCCATCTGCCTCAGCCTCCCAAAGTGCTGGGATTACAGGAGTGAGCCACCGAGCCCAGATGACATATTTACTTTCTAACACCTAGTACCTTGGAATGTGACCTTTCAGATGTAATTAGCTGATATGCAGTCACACTAGGAAAGGGTGTCTTTTTTTTTAATTTTAATTTTAATTTTTGAGACAGGCTCTTACCCTGTCGCCTAGGCTGGAGTGCGGTGATTTGATCATAGCTCACTACAGCCTCGACCTCTGGAGCTCAAGTGATCCTCCATCTCAGCCTCCCAAGCAGCTGGGACTACAGGCTTGCATCACAATGCCAGGCTAATTTTTGTATTATTAGTAGAAACAGGGTCTCACCATATTGGCCAGGCTGGTCTCCAACTCCTGGCCTCTAGTGATCTGTTCGCCTCAGCCTCCCAAATTGCTGGGATTACAGGCATGAGCCACCACGCCTGTCTGGAAAGGGTGTCTTTTAAGAGAGGACACACAGAGACACGCACACAGGGAAGAAGATGGTGCAACAAGGTAGAGATTGGGGTGATGCAGCTGTGAGCTAAGGAACGCGAGAGAGCGAAGCCCCGCCCCTGCCCCTCGGCCCAAGCTATGAGGAGGGAAGGAATCATTCTGCCCAGAGCGTTAGAGGGAGCACTGCTCTGCTGACACCTTCCTCTTAGATTTATGGATGTCAGAACTATGAGACAATACATTTTTCTTTTTTTTTTTTTTTTGAGATGGAGTTTCACTCTTGTTGCCCAGGCTGGAGTGCAATGGCAGGATCTCGGCTCACTGCAACCTCTGCCTCCTGGGTTCTAGCGATTCTTCTGCTTCTGCTTCAGCCTCCCTAGTAGCTGGGATTACAGGGGCCCGCCACCAAGTTCAGCTATTATTTTACATTTTTAGTAGAGATAGGGTTTCACTATATTGGCTAGGCTGGTCTCAAACTCCTGACCTCAGGCGATCCACCCGTCTCAGCCTCCCAAAGTGCTGGGATTACAGGCGTGAGCCACTCCACCCGCTTCTTTCTTTTTAGAGACTGGATCTCACTCTGTTGCCCAGGCTGGGGCACAGTGGTGCAGTCATAGCTCACTGCAGCTTCGACCTCCCAGGCCCAAGCAATTCTTGAACCTCAGCCTCTGTAGTAGCTAGGACCATAGGCATGAGCCACCACACCCAGCTAATCTGTAAATTTTCTGTAGAAACAGGGTCTCCTTATGTGGCCCCAGTTGGTGAGAATACATTTCTATTGTTTAAACCACCCAGGTTGTGGTTATGGCAGCCCTGGAAACTAACACAGGGGGCTGGGCATGGTGGCTTATGCCTGTAATCTCAGCACTTTGGGAGGCCAAGGCAGGCGAATTACTTAAAGTCAGGAGTTACAGAAAAGCCTGGCCAACATGACTAAACCCCGCCTCTACTAAAAATACAAAAAGTAGCTGGGTGTGGTGTAATCTGGTTACTCCAGAGGCTGAGGCATGAGACTCACTTGAATCCGGGAGGCAAAGGTAGCAGTGAGCTGAGATGACACTACTGCCTTCCAGCCTTGGTGACAGGAAAAAAAAAGTGAGCTAGATATTAAGAAAGAAAATAGATTTTTAAAATGTCTGTGTATGTGTTTTACCTATACAGAGAAACTATATCTATATACCTCATCGTCAAACAACATAGTGAGAAAAAAAAAAAAAAAAAAAAAAAAAAAAAAAAAAAAAAAAAAAAAAAACATAAAAATGAAAAAAGAGAGAGAAAAAGTAAAGTACACAGGTGTCATTTGAAACTGAGACCTTGCCGGGCGCGGTGGCTCAGGCCTGTAATTCCAGCACTTTGGGAGGCTGAGGCGGGTGGACCACTTGAGGTCAGAAGTTTGAGACCAGCCTGACCAATATGGTGAAACCTCGTCTTAAAAAAAAAAAATTATTGGGCCGGGCGCGGTGGCTCAAGCCTATAATCCCAGCACTTTGGGAGGCCGAGGCGGGTGGATCACGAGGTCAAGAGATCAAGACCATCCTGGTCAACATGGTGAAACCCCGTCTCTACTAAAAATACAAAAAATTAGCTGGGCATGGTGGCGCGTGCCTGTAATCCCAGCTACTCAGGAGGCTGAGGCAGGAGAATTGCCTGAACCCAGGAGACGGAGGTTGCGGTGAGCCGAGATCGCGCCATTGCACTCCAGCCTGGGTAACAAGAGCGAAACTCCGTCTCAAAAACAAACAAACAAACAAACAAACAAAAAAGAAACTGAGACCTTAGTGATGAAAAGAAGGCATATCATATGAAGATTTAGAGGGAATAAAGTTCCATGCAGGGTCAGGAAGAGAAAAAGCAATGGCTGGAGGGTACGCGTCCAGGGCGGTGACATAGGAGAAGGGACTGGAAAGCTAGGCAGGGGCAGGTCTTGCAGGACTTGGCAGAGGAGGGGACAGAACTGGATTTAATCAGCTTGGAGGCGATTGTGACCCTTGAGCGACAAAAACAGCTGTCAAGAACGTCACCCAGAACGTTAGAGGGCAGGAAACTAGGATGTATTAGCTGCAGCACATAATAATGACAACGTGAGATGACCGCGCCCTCTGCGCTGCGCCGCCCGGCCCCCGACCTTGCTGGAGGGTCGATGTCACCTCCAGCCTTCTGGGGCGCTGGCCTGAGCTCAGGTCAGGCAATGACGCGGGGTGGGGGGGTAAGCCTTCACGTCCCCCAAATCTCCTTGCATTCCCCAAATTCTAGACACCCCAAAACACACAATCTAAGTCAAACAAGCTCTGCAAATGCAACCTGCAGACAAGTCCCCCAGCTGTTCTTGGAAGAGAGAGATTCTGGAGGCACAGAGGCACTCCCAAGGGGGCCGCAACAGACCCTGCAAGACCTTGCAGCCTTGCAAGGTCCGGCCCGGCACGCCACGCGCGGGAGGATGCGCATGCGCGGCCCCGCCTCCCGGGCGTGGGACGGGGCAGGCGCCGGGGCGGGGCCATGACGTCAGGTGCGCGCGTGGCTCCGGCTGCGCAGGAACAGCTGGTTCCTCCGAGGGCGGCCGGCAAACGCGCGGGCGTGAGGTGCTGGGGTGGCCGCCGAGCCGCGCTGCGGGAGCAGCCGACACCGCCGCTGGCGCCTTGCACCAACACACCATGTCCGGGCAGCTGGAGCGTTGCGAGCGCGAATGGCACGAGCTGGAGGGAGAATTTCAAGAACTGCAGGTAGGGCCAGCCCACCTGGTCCCGCAACTCTGCTGCGCGCGGTGCAGCGCCTTCCTCTGCCTGAGTCCCCGGCCCAGGCAGTGGGGACAGTCAGGGCCTAGGGAGTGCCCTGGCTAGGCCCTGGGGCGCACCGGCGGCGTGGACCAGCCCTCTCCCATCTCCAGGCGCTTGGGCTCTTCGTCCACATGGGGCGCCGGGTCGCAGCTCCCACTTCCGCCGCCCTGTCACTGGCTCTGCTCCACGCACCCCCGTCGCTGCAGAAAGTTGGTTCGTGGCCTTTGAGGCAAGTTCCAGACGTGTTCATCTTTGGGGGCAGAGTTCAAGAGAACAGCCCAGCCTCCACCTCTGCAGGGTCTCCCCGAATCCCACCCCACCGCGTCCCATCTGCTTTTGGTAGCTCAGCTCCCACCAGTACTCTGGCGGGGCAGCCCTATCCTGCAGCTCTGTTTCGGGAGGTGTACTTAGGAGCGTTTCACCTTGAACCTCTAGGCTGTGCTTGGGGATTAGAGACCCCTATTTGCTGTCTTTGGGGGCTCTGACACTGCTGCAGGCTGAGTTTGGCGTGAAGAGCATCTGTCAGTTCGGACAGCTGGGTTGCCTCACCCAGTGATAGGGGAAGCTCCCAGCCCTATCCTTCTGGCCCAGAGCCTGACACAGGATGGGGTGAGGGCGGGTGTAAAGGAGGGGGGTCCCCTGACAGAACGGCATTCCTGCTGGGAGGCGGGCGGTCCTGGCAGCAGTCGTTCCTGGTAAGAGGTTCAGAGAGGCCTCAGCTACCTACGGTGTTGACTAGAGACGCCTCAGGAATCCTTGGGGTTGACCAAGAGGGACTCAGGGACTATTTTGAAAGACAGGGATGTTTCCTCTCTAGCCACGGGATTGTTTTTGGAGGGTTGGCTTTGCCTGAAATTGCATTGCACGCCCTCACCCCAGTCCTTTCATTTGGAGCAGTGACATTGTCTCTGTCCATGTAGCCCTTGTCTGCAGCTCAGTTGGCCTCCTACGGTGTGCAGAGGAGGGGAGAGGAGATTGCCAAGGGAATCTCTGATGGGTCTTTCTAGACACGAGGTTGGAGATTCTGACCTATAGACAGAGGGGTGCTGGAGAGTCCGGGCAGGAACGGTGGTGCAGTTTCAGGCATGAACAGAGGAGAAGGGACCTAGACCCATCTTGGCCTGTCCAGCATGTGTAGGTTGATGCCTTCTCCTCTAGGGCCTGGGCCCATCAGTTCCCAGAGGACTGTTTTGGCTCCAAGACTCAGCTACTTTTTTTTTTTTTAAACGGAGTTTCACTCTTGTTACCCTGTGGCACAATCTTGGCTCACTGCAACCTCTGCCTCCAGGGCTCAAGTGATTCTACTGCTTCAGCCTCCTAAGTAGCTGTGAACTATAGGCGCACGCTACCACGCCGGCTGATTTTTTGTAG